GAGCACAAACAAGTGCTGTGGATGATTTTATCCCAGTCAGGGTAAAACAATTTATCGTCTGGTCACTGTAATTTGTGGCTTGCGGGGTGTTGGCTTGGATCGCTGTTGTCTAAATGAAGTGGGTGTAACGCTCGTCCCTCACTACAATACCAGAAGCATCAGAGTGTATTTCAGTCCTCGCTGTGGCCTGGGTTTGTCAGTCTCTATACATAGTAAGGATCTTTGAAGCTTCTCCATATAAAGGGAAAAACTGTCCATTGCGTGGCATGACTTGAATATATTTGGTTTAATAAGGAAAGAGTTGCTAAAATATACTTTTACAGTTTGCTTTCAAAGAAATGCACCAGTCTTTAATTCAGCAGTTCAAATAATCATAACATCTGACCATCAAAAAAGTGTCCTTCAGTCGACAACGATTGAATGATCAGTGACGAGTTGACATGAGGATCAATCGGACAAGATTATCCACCAACCTCTCATACAAGGAAGTAATAAGACTCTGGCATAAGATTGTGTGCGTGAGAGGTTTTCCATCACACATCAGTTACTCAAAGACCAGAATTAAAAGATCTTATTGTAGAACTCAAAGTCCTTATAGCTCAAAGATTATAACATCATATGAAAATATCCAAACCAAAAGGCTATTCTAAACCTTACATATCAAATTTTGAGTTAAAAAACCCCCAAACTAATAATTTACAACAATCCTTTTTTTCATATATTTTGCCGTCTCCTAAAACACACAGAGATGTCGACATTTCCAGGCCTGTGTGCAGGCCTGTGTGGTTTGTGGTGGACCACAGTGACAGATTGTGGTCAGTTAGATCCTAATAACTGCCTGACAGCCAGACCACAGCTTGGGCTATGGGTCACTGGACAGACAGAGAGAGAAACTGACAGCTAAGCATCTTATCAACATCACAGAAAACTGATGTAGCTTGTCTGCTGCTGTCAGGCCTGGAAAAACATGGAATTGAGTTTTTACATGATGAAAATGACATTTTCACATACTACACATTTTTATTGTACTTTATGCAGTAGCGCCTCATTGCAGTACACAAGATCCAGGGGGCGGAGTCGGATCCAGATCTGAGGGGTGGAGTTGGGTAGGTTTAGGGATCAGGGGGTGGAGCTGGGTTGGTTTATGGATCAGTGGGGTGGAGTCAGATCCAGATCTGAGGGGTGGAGTTGGGTAGGTTTAGGGGTGGGTTTAGGGAGTCAGGGGGTGGAGCTGGGTAGGTTTAGGGGTGGGTTTAGGGATCAGTGGGTGGAGTTGGGTAGGTTTAGGGGTGGGTTTAGGAATCAGGGGTGGAGTTGGGTAGGTTTAGGGGTGGGGTAAGGGATCAGGGGGTGGAGTTGAGTAGGTTTAGGGGTGGGTTTAGGAATCAGGGGTGGAGTTGAGTAGGTTTAGGGGTGGGTTTAGGAATCAGGGGGTGGAGTTGGGTAGGTTTAGGGGTGGGTTTAGAGAATCAGGGGGTGGAGTTGGGTAGGTTTAGGGGTGGGTTTAGAGAATCAGGGGGTGGAGTTGAGTAGGTTTAGGGGTGGGTTTAGGAATCAGGGGTGGAGTTGAGTAGGTTTAGGGGTGGGTTTAGGAATCAGGGGGTGGAGTTGGGTAGGTTTAGAGGTGGGTTTAGGCATCAGGGAGTGGAGCTGGGTAGGTTTAGGGGTGGGTTTAGGGATCAGTGGGTGGAGTTGGGTAGGTTTAGGGGTGGGTTTAGGAATCAGGGGTGGAGTTGGGTAGGTTTAGGGGTGGGGTAAGGGATCAGGGGGTGGAGTTGAGTAGGTTTAGGGGTGGGTTTAGGAATCAGGGGTGGAGTTGAGTAGGTTTAGGGGTGGGTTTAGGAATCAGGGGGTGGAGTTGGGTAGGTTTAGGGGTGGGTTTAGAGAATCAGGGGGTGGAGTTGGGTAGGTTTAGGGGTGGGTTTAGGAAACAGGGGGTGGAGTTGGGTAGGTTTAGGGGTGGGGTAAGGGATCAGGGGGTGGAGTTGAGTAGGTTTAGGGGTGGGTTTAGGAATCAGGGGTGGAGTTGAGTAGGTTTAGGGGTGGGTTTAGGAATCAGGGGGTGGAGTTGGGTAGGTTTAGGGGTGGGGTAAGGGATCAGTGGGTGGAGTTGGGTAGGTTTAGGGGTGGGTTTAGAGAATCAGGGGGTGGAGTTGGGTAGGTTTAGGGGTGGGTTTAGGAATCAGGGGGTGGAGTTGGGTAGGTTTAGGGGTGGGGTAAGGGATCAGGGGGTGGAGTTGAGTAGGTTTAGGGGTGGGTTTAGGGATCAGTGGGTGGAGTTGGGTAGGTTTAGGGATCAGGGAGTGGAGCTGGGTAGGTTTAGGGGTGGGTTTAGGGATCAGGGGGTGGAGCTGGGTAGGTTTAGGTGGGAGGAGTTGGATCTGGATCTGACTCCTCCCCCGTGGATTTCATGCACTTTATATGGTAATACACACAATAATGTTGTTTGCATGATAAATATCTTAGATGTAAAATAATATAAACACGGCCCAATAACGCAAAAGTCCTCAGTAGTACACCATAGGCTCTAGTTTCCTTTTGACAGCACAAATGTAATGACATCACTTGTTGATGTCACTGTACACCACCAGGGTTCTCAGCCATACTCCGATATCTTGGCAGGTTTAAGAAAACCCAAATGAATCATTCATCAAGCCATAAAAAGCCATGCAAAGCTACAGTGACAAATTAAAATAGGACTTAATAAAATACACAACAACATCATCTGCCTCTGGGTCCATGTTTGAGTGATGCAGTCGATTTAATTAAATCTGTCAAACAGTGGCATATCAATTGAAGTTTCCACTACTGACCACGCACACACAGACAGTTACTCATCAATTTTAATTACCTTTGCCCTTACATTGGTTTTATTTGACATTACTCCATGGACCACAACTACAAAATTGAAACGTGGAGTCCTGCTGGGACTTTTCGCACAGATTTAGCTCGGTGTAAACATCAGTGCTGTGCTTGATACCCTCTGTGTACAACTACCAGCTACAGCACAAAGGTACCACTTTTGGTCTCTAAGGTTGGATACCACACATAGCTTCCATTCCAAACAATTAAACAAAAAGGAAACACATGAATACGCTTGAAATCCCCTATCTGAAATATGTAACAGCCTCTTGCCTAGCTGTAACACAAATGCAGAATACAATTCACCCATTCACATTCAATAAAGCAATACACCATTATAATCATTTTACCCTGTTTAAAGAGTGTTTGGCACACGACAAAATCATCTTAGAAACACAGCCTCTTTATATGCATATAAATGAAAAAAAAAAATTATTTGGTCTTAGACGGCAAATAATTAATAAATAATAAATACAAGCAATGAACACTCGTTGTTTACAATTTTGTATGCTTTTGAAAGAAGTATCTTATGCTCACCAAATCTGCATTTAAAAATAACAAAGTAATATTGTGTAATATTATTACAATTTAAAATTACTGTTTTATATGTTCATATTTTAAAATGTAATTTATTAATGTAATTCCAAAGCACAATTATTAAAGTCCTCAGTGTGTATATATATATATGGATGCTGTGTATAATTATTGCATATATATATATATATATATATATATAAATACACACACATGCTTGTATATATTTAAGAAATATTTTCATGTATATACTGTATATAGATTTATATATAATTTATATTATATATAAATATAAATATTTTATAAGTAAATAATATTTTTTTCTTAAATATACATGCATGTATGTGTATTTATATATACTAAATAATTATACACAGTGCACCCACATATATTATGTAATCACAAACTTTTATTTTGGATGCGATTAATTGCAATTAATCGTTTGACAACAAAAGCTTTGAACATATCTTGAATTTGAATGAATAGATTTTAGAGACTTAAATCCATTTTCTAATAGGAATCAAAACACTCTTGCCTCTGGGTACTTTGGATATGACATCATGACTTGCTTGCTCAATAGACATTTCCAAATCATTATAACAGATTATTCATGGATGCTTCACTGCCCTTAATCCTATAAAACTACTACTATTCGAACTACTCTATAATGTTAATGTACGTGGGTTATGTAATATAATTTGGAAATATACTAATATTCATTAATTGTTTATGAATATTATTGTTGTTATTGTTAATTGTTAAAAAAATTGTTAATTCATTCATAACACATTAGATGTGCAGTACACTAAAATACCATTCCAAACAGGGTCAGTTATTTGGTCACATGAGAGCATTAATACAACGCATAATTTGTTGATAAACAACAGTGACATGATGTTTGTTCAGACATGATGGAGTATTAAAAATTACATAATCAGTCTGTTGTCAGTGCTAGGAATCAATGTTGAAACATGAGTAGCTATAAAGTGCTATTTGTGCCAATTGCTTTTAAATTCAATTACAATCAGGTCACATGACTGAGTTATGTAATTGAGACAGTGAAAGCAAGAATGAAACGACCTTGACTGGAAAGTTAATGAACTATGCTTTACCAAGTAAGTAGATTTATGGCATTAGTGTAAACTATTAGTTCTAATCAAAGCTCATGTTTCACAGAAATTAACTAATCAGTCTATTTACTCTAAAGCAATTACTTTGAAGCAGTTTAGCGCAAAGAACTATTCAAATTCCTAAATGATGAAATCCACAGCTTTCCAATGAACCTGAAAAAGTCCATGATGATTCAGAGCAGCGGGGGTGTGTTCGTGTGTGCAGGTAAAGGTACGGTATGCCCTGAGGATTCTGGAGGCGGAGACAGACAGGAAGAGGGAGGGACTTGGGCGTCAGCGTAAACAGATCAGCACAGGAAGCAAGGGATGCATCAGCCAATCAGATACTGAGTCACATAGCAAAAAGTAGGGAGGGGGATAAAAAAAAATGAGTGGAGACAAATAAAAGACTAACACCATATACTTAAATCATAGAGACAAACATACCATAGGGCCACCATGGCTCTAACATCTTCTGTTCCCATCTATGTGCAGTTTTCAAGGGACAAGTACATCATGGACGGACCACCGGAGAAGCTTCGGAGAGAACTAGAGGAAGAACTGAAACTAAGCAGTGAGGAACCCCGGAGCCATGCCTGGTATCATGGAGCCATCCCTAGACAGGTACAGCTTTAAGAGGAGGGAGAGGGGTGGGGATCATTATCGGATAATGTTTGTATTATGAGGCTCTCTGTGGTGAGCAGCTGTTTCTGTGATTTTATATATGCGTATGAAATATAGTTCGGAAGTTGAATCTGGCAGAGAGCAGGGATCTTTTTGCTGTCAAAAGCATAGCTGAAGTCACACTGAAGTCATGCCTGTATCTGGCACTCAAACATTCACTTTCTTTGTATAAAAAGATAATGAAATAAAGACATGTGGCCATGTTTGCTTCAGCTAGAGGCTAGAGAAAGACTTGATTAAGGTAAGAAATACACTGAGGATATGACTTGCATTAGATGTTCTTAATGCTAACTTGATCAATTTACAAAAAGTACTACGGTACTGTGATGTAACATCTAGTATCATGACTCTTGGATATACATTTATGGTACTGAATGTTTACCATATGCATGTACTTTACCATGTTTTTTACATGGGATTTCAAAGAATACTTTAGTATTAGCAGAACCAATGTCCAAAAACACAGTGTAATCAAATTACAATATTTATGTCATGGTAATGCTACAGTACTTTTTTTGTCACTTTTAGGTCAACAATTATGAAACATGTAAATAGTTACCTGATAGACATGTTGTGCAAAATAATAACCTATAAATGGTGTGTGAAACTTCTAAAATGTTTCTTTAAGCTTTACGTGAAATTTTACTTGCTTGGCTTTTACTTTTAGCTTTCTGGGTATGTGAAATTGCATATTGATGATTAGATCCTTTTAAGATATATTTAAGTCATATGCAAAAATACACTCAAATTGCATGCTTCTAACTTGCCTAAAATTGTGAAATGCTTTGACAAATCTGGAGCAGAGAGTCCATTGTCACCAGTAGTATAGGTTGTTGATCAATACTTGTTTTTTAACTGGTTTAAAGGCGCCAAACACAACACAGAACAGAACAGGAAAAGTCACATTCACACCCAGACTTGCCCAAGATCAAGGAAAACAAAAGATTTCATTACAACAAAGCACAAAATTTCGTTATAAAAAAGTCGTCATACAAGATCTTAGATCAACTTGACAGCAAAACTATCAATACCTATCAGTGCTTAAAGGGATAGTTCAACCAAAAATGAAAATGTTGTCATTTACTCACACTCAAGTTTTTCCAACCCTGTACGGGTTTCTTTCTTCTGTTGAACACAAGAGAAGATATTTTAAAGAATGTAGGTAATCAAACAGTTGATGGTACCCATTGACTTCCATAGTCGGGAAAAAAATACTATGGGTGCCGTCAACTGTTTGATTACCAACATTCTTTAAAATATCTTGTTTTGTGTTCAACAGAAGAAAGAAACTCATAAAAGTTTGGAACAATTGAAGACAGAATTGTTAGGTGAACTATCCTTTTAAACACTACATTTTGGACAGTTCATTAACGCTATATTCAAAAACAGCCATCAACAGTTTCTCATTGCGACAGACATCCCAGTGCTGACAGCAACAGATCCGCTCGTATGAAAACCATGTACCCATGCTCCTTTGCAGGATATGCCCCTGAAACTGACAACTCATCCATCAACAATTGTTGCAGAGCAGAGTGGTTTATATAGTGATGAATCATGACTGCTATTTGACCTGAGCTGTATTTATTTAACGGCATCATATGATCAGAACTACCAGCATCCAAAATCGGGAAACTGCTGCTTACACCACAAATATACCAGTCACAATGGAACATTCCCATTCATCATGGCTCAACACATCTTATAAATGACCTTAGAATACCATTTATCAGGTTCATGCGTAGACAAAAAGATATGTAAGGATATGTAAGAAAAAGAGGCCACAGACTGTCTAAATATTCATAACTACATGCGTTACAAAAGGTGCCCCTAAAATATGCTGCATGTTTGTGATGATTGATAGTTAATTCATTCTCTACACTTGAGTGTCTGTAGACATGTATTCATTTGTTCTTTTGAGTGGTCCTTGGATCACTACACACCCTGCGATCAAGCATTTCCCTCTGACAACATGTGGGCTGTAGTGTCTTTCAGCGGGACGAGTCTGACCTGCTCGGCTGAAGTTAAACAAACAAACTACAGACAAGGGAAAAGGAAATGGTGTGAAATGGCCTGTGGTTAATTTCAAAATGTACTGTATATTCCCAGTAGTGTTCTATCACTGTGGAGGAAAATAACATGATGGATGGTAAAAGATGACGACTTATTCGTTATAGATGTCAATGTAGGCAGCAACCTGTGAAAATACCACAATCAAAATAGTTTGATCTGCATACTTACATAATATACAGCCATAACTATCTGTTCAGTACTGTAAACTATACACTTTTTAGCTGCTGTTTTATACCATAAGCTGTTTAGCACAACCATGAAAACAGTCATAAACACTGAGCGATTCTAATCAGACTTAACGACTCTTTTCCTGGTGCCACATCTGATCCATTACTCCAAACACACATGCTAACATTGATTTATTAGTGTTTGATCTCCTCATGAACACATTCTGGTAAGTAATATGAAACAATGACATATAAACTTCCATAAACCTAATCTAATCTTACATAAACTAATAAACTAAAGGCATAATGATATATTATAATGAGTAAAGATGCGAGCGCACACTTACAAACAGACTGTCAGGCAAAAAAAAAAAAAAAAAAAAAAGAGAAGTCACCACCATTTGGCCTTAAATAAGCAAATGCTTAATTGCTGTGATTATTATTTCTAGCATGTTACATGTTTGGGAACCCTAATTGATTGAGTGTGTAGCTTTTCATTTCTTAAACACCCTACATGGGTGACACATCATGACCATATTCCAGGATCACAATGTCAAGATGCATCATGTTTGGAAGGGAGCTTGGCAGCTCTGAGTCCAGCTCTTAAATCCATTGAAAGTATTTGGGATGTGCTGGAGGAGACTTTGAGTGCTAGACTCTTGCAGACAAGATCTTGACCAAAAAATTATGCACCTTTTGATGGAAATAATTGATTTTTGGAGATCTTGTCAATTATGGTTAGAAGAACTGTTGCCAAACATACAACATGCTAGAAACATAATAATCACATCAACAATGATCCAACAATAGACTCTTAAGCATTTAGCAATTTTGAATCCAAACGGCAACTTTTTTTATGGCCGGGAATTATTCTATAGTGATTTTGAGTGATTTACATACTGATTAATTAATATTCCAAATGGCCGTTCAGTTTGGAAAGGTAGTCCATCATTCTAAACTGCTTGAATGCACCAATGAACCACAAAAAGAAATATCGAGGTCATGTCATGTATCACTGTCAGAAAATTAGTTCTGCAATGTTTACTGAGGATGTATACATAATCTGATTAGACGGAATATCATAAGCACAATGTTCAGGCTAAGATCCAACAAGCGAAATACTTGAAACTAAGGGAGGGAAGCAAATATATATATATATATATATATATATATATATATGAGAGAGAGAGAAAAAAAGCTTCCACAAAAACAATAAAAATTGTGTGTTTGTTTGAATTGAAGGTGGCTGAAAACCTGGTCCAGCGTGATGGAGACTTTCTGATCCGAGACTCGCTGTCCAGCCCGGGAAACTATGTCCTCACCTGCCAGTGGAAGAACACACCTCAACACTTCAAAATCAACAAACGAGTAGTAGCCATGAATGAGGCCTACTCACGCATCCAGTACCTGTTTGAGAAGGAGGGATTTGACAGCGTCCCCGCGTTGGTGCGATACTATGTGGGCAACCGGGAGCCGGTATCTGAGGTTGTCGGAGCGATTATCTTCCAGCCAATCAACAGAGCTCTGCCTCTGAGATGCCTGGAGGAGAAATATGGAGTTGGATGTATACGTGTAGAGGCGGGATACTCCGAGAGAAAGAGCCTGACTTCTAAACGGTTGAGTCTGAATATCATGAACGGACACACCCAGGATCACACCCTCAGCCGTGGGAACCTCCTCAGGTGAGAGAAACACACTCATATGGCCCTTTCCACTATTATTCATTGCCACACTTTACCGCCAAGAAGAAATATTCTGGGAGGTTTTTGAATCACAACACATGAAAGGTTCATTAATTTGACTCATAATAGGATTTACTAATTATAGATTCTAGTTCTCAAACGGTTTGGTAGATTTGACCTTTTCAGAATCTCTATTTACTAAAAAAAATGTAATTTGTAAAGCATGTAATTTAGCAGTCCTATATAATAATTAGTTCTTCACATTTTCAACACTTGTTTACAGTAGACATATGCATATACATATTCACTACATATGTTATATACATATGTAGTGGTCCCATTAGTAAAGGTTAGTTAACGCATTAACTAAAATGAACTAACAGTTAACAATGCATTTATTACAATATCTATTAGTTGCAATTAATTATGATTAAATGCTTTCGAATTATTTTTCATCACTGGTTCATTTTAACTAATGTACTTAACAAATGTTAACAAATGAAACCTTATTGTAAAGTCTTACCAATTTAGCTCATGTGATTTCATCTTTTTAAACAATTTCAGGTTAAAGGAAATTCTGTGGTTTGACTGCCCTCATCATGAATTACAAAAGAAACAGTTTACAAATACACAATACTAGAAATACAATTTAATAATATTTGCATTACATACTTGGCTTCTACTCTGAAAAATGAGTTTTCGTGATTTTCACAAACTACCCTAAAATCTATAAAATAAAATGTATATAATTTTGTCAGCAATTACTGGGCTTATGAGCACCCCAACGGGAAGTAAAAAAAAGGCATTTTTCAAGCCATTTGTATTATGTTAAGTTGTTCATTTATTCAGTCCTGCAGTGTGTGACATCTTCACATTAATATAGAGATTTTAAGCATTAATACGCATTAAATAAGTAAAACTTTCACTTATTAACAAACTTAACTCCCATAATGGGAGTCTTAACTTTTGGAAACAATGGGTCAAAATAGCTTACAACCTCATCAATTCAAAAATAGTATTAAAATGATGGTGCAGGTTTGCATGAAGAACTCACAGTAATTCAGAGACTGCATTGAAATTGTACTTTAAAAATTCATATCACACCACAGAACCTTTCAAAACTCAATTAAAAGTGGTGTCAAGTTTGTCATCTTACTCTAAAAGATTGGTAGAGAAGACTTACGTGACCTGTCTTTCTCCTTCACAGCAACAAAGATAAATGTGGGAGTCAACCAGCATGTCTGAACCACGTTCAGGAGAGGAGACGGCCACTGAAGACCCATCAGTCGGAGAGCTTCCTCCCTATCGGTGAGTGCCTGTCAGCTCTCATCCTCCTTGATACCCCGTCACGCCTCCAGCCCTCCGCTGATATCCACGTCTGACAGCCCTGAAAACCAGTCATCTTTCTCACGTTCACTTTGTGCCAAAGGGAAAGTGGTTCTCAAAGTCAAGCTGACGATATCGCCTTTGAAATTCACTTTCTGTTACTGATCGTTAAATGCGTGAAATGAAACGTGGGATTGAAATGCTAAATAAAATGTTTTGTGGAGAAGAATGAAAGTGGAGGATGGAGATAATTTATGGCTGTGTCAGTTGAATAAATATGGTTATGAGCAAAACGCAGCTTTGCTGTCCATGTCAGAATCCAAAGTGCTGAATCTGCATTGCTGTGCAGAATGCCAAAAGAAAACAAAACAAGTCCATCTATTTTAATAAAAAGATTTTTTTTTTGTTGATATTATGGATATGAATGAATCCCTTTGCTTTCAGGCTGCAGACCCCAGGCTCAGGTTCGGCATATGGAGCACCAGCCATGCCCCAAATCCCCGGTTTTCCGAACAGGAAGTGAGCCAGCTCTGAGCCCCACAGTACCACGCAGAATGGCCTTCGACACCCAGCCTGGCGAGGCCATTCGTGGATCTGACAGCCAGCTGTGTCCCAAACCGCCCCCTAAACCCAGCAAGGTCCCCGCTATGAGAGTATGCTGCACCCCGGGCCTGAAGACCCTCGCCCCACCAGTCCCCCCGGTAAAACCCCGCAAACAGCGACGGCAGCAGTCGGGTGGCTCATCGAGTCCGGAAGTAAGCTACTGTGAGCTGAGTCCATGCAGCCCTGCTGATTTGGAAAAGATGAGTAGCTCACATGCTAACAGCTATGTGGAGAGGTTAAAGACTGAGGAGGAGTTAAGGAGAAGTGATAGCAGCATTAAACTAGATCGTAGCTCCTACCATAACGCCATTGAGGCCCTGGAACACGACAGTGAGGAAGACAACGAGGAGGATGTGGGCGAAGAAGAGAATGGCAAGACAGGTTTCCAAAGACCTGTGTTTGAAACTGAATCAGCATTCAAACCTGGTGACGTCAACTTCCGGCTTCTACCGGTGGAGAACAAACCATTGGAGATGACCGTGCTGAAGAAAGCCAAAGAGTTGTTCATCAGTCAGGATCCAATGACCATCGCCAAACACATCCTGAAAGCAGACTGCCAGGTAATATTAATTATGAGTCTTTGAAAGCAATATAAAATCTAAATTAATATTTATTCTTTTCAATTAGGTAATGCATTAGGTGTCCTGAATTAACAATTAAAAAAAAAAAGTTCAAATCTAGATTGTTAATTTATAAAAAGACTAGTACTGTACCGTCATATCGATTAATTGCGATTAATCGCATCTAACATAATAGTTTGTTTAAATAATATATGTGTGCATATATAAAACTGTAAAAAAAAATATTTTCAAGATTTGTTAACACAACATTTTGTCTTTTGTCGAATCAACTTAAATAATTTATTTAGTTGAGATAACTTATTATTTTGAGTTTCTGATGATTAAATCAATCTCATTCATTGTTTTAACTCACTTTTTCCAGTTCAATCAACTTAAAATTTTAAGGCAACCAGGTTACTTACTTTTTTAAGTTAAACCAACAATATTTTTTGGATATATAATATGTACACAAATTATATAAACACAAACTTTCATGTTAGATGCGATTAATCGATTTGACAGCACTAACATACACATTGCTCGTTATTAATTTATGTTTGTTCATAATACATTAATGTAAATGAATACTTGAAACGTTAAAAATGTGTAATTATATGTAGAAAATAACAATCAACAACTAATTTAAATTTAAAAAATAAGTAACCTGGTTGCATTAAAATTTTAAGTTCATTGAAATTGAAAAATTGAGTTAATACAATGGAGATTAATTTAATCACCAGAAACTCAAAATATTATGTTATCTGAACTACATAAATTATCTAAGTTGATTTGACAAAAGAAAAAATGTTGATTACAAATCATGAACATTTTTTTTTACAGTGGGATTAACCAGTGTTAACAAATTTGACCTTAATTTGCAATAACCATGCATTGTTTTAGGGAACGGTTACTGGTAATGCAACTTAAATGTAAAAAATAAAAACAGTAATTTAAAGTAATTAAATCTATCACATTTTTTTTATTTGATGGCTTTCGATTTTAAAATATTTGGAGGAAGAGGAATAAAAAAAGATTGATTTGTCATTTCGTTTTCAAAGAAAATGAAACAACAACAAAGCCAAATCAAGAAAGATGAACACAGAATTAGGGAGTGTCATCCACACCGACAGGTCTGTAATTACGCTCTGGTTATGCGAGTCAGCCTATTCTTCAGGATGAAGACTGGTTCTTCCAGCCAACCAGAAGACAAGCCCACAGTTGTGCCACACAGTCAGGGCTAAATCTAGATGAATCCAATTAAAAAGCCTTTTATACATGTGACTCTCCACATTTCTTACTGCTTCTGAAAGAGGCTCCAGTTTGTTGCCTGTGTATTTGGGAATGAAATCTTAAACCGGCAGATTATGTCAGTCACAGGACCAATGTTACGGGAGAAAAAAACATCCACCCACAACCCAAATTTAGAAACCCTTCACAATCACAGATTAGCTTCTGTGCGATACTTTCAACACGGAATGTTACTACCTTTGATGCAAATGCTGTGTCTACAGGTTGCCAGGATCCTGGATGTTTCTGAGGAGCTGAAAGGTCAAATGAGCGTGACCTCTGGGCTGGAGCTGGTGACCCTTCCTCATGGGAGACAGCTGCGGCAGGACCTCATGGAAAGGTAAACGGATGCAGATTTCTGATGATATACAAGGAGTACAGATCTTTCAGAATGCATATATAGACCACACATTTAACATGCATGGCTGGTTCTTCTTAAAAAGGCATAACACCATGGCAATCGGAGTTGCTGTGGATATCCTGGGGTGTACAGGAAGTCTGGAGGAGCGAGCAGCCACCCTAAACAGGATCATTCTGGTCGCTCTAGAGCTCAAAGACTCGATGGGAGATCTTTATGCCTTTTCCTCCATAATGAAAGCACTGGACATGCCTCAGGTACCCAACAGCTCCTCCTGTCTGCCACTTCTTCCCCTCTCTGTGTGCGGTCAACAAGCTTTAATCTGTGTGATCTTTCTTGAATGAACAGATCACCAGGCTGGATCATACGTGGACTAGCTTGCGGAGAAAATATACACAGACTGCCATTCTTTATGAGAAATCTTTGAAACCATTCTACAAAGGACTCTATGAAGGAAGTGGTGAGTTTTTGACACTAAAAGCATGTTTAATGCCCTTTATACTGTTGGTCACCTTTAACTAAATTCTTGCTCTTGTCTTTCCAGCTGAAATCCCACTGAGCAATGCCAGTGTCCCGCTGCTAATGCCCCTGCTCACCTTGATGGAGAGGCCCGCGGTCACCTTCGAAGAGATGGACGTCTGGGAGAACAACGACCAAGGCTGCGAAATCATGTTCCGGCATCTGGAAGGAGCTCGTGCTGTTGCACGCAATGCGGACACCTACACCTGCAATGCACAGCGGATCCTCCAGGGTAAGACAAGGACATTACAAGTCATTTCAGGAGGAACATGTGGTGGGAAATGGTGAGCAAATCACATTGAGCTGTTCAGGTCGTTGTGTTAATATCCAAAAGAAAATGAGCATTTGAAGCATGGGTTCCCTCAGGAAGTTAAAAGGCCTAGCTAGCTAGGCTAGCACACAAAAAGACACTCAAACATGTCAGATGATCAGATTCAATCAGTCAAGTAATATTTTAGAGCAGTTACCAACATGATTCACCTACAGAACAAGTCATTATTACTTCAAAATGAATCAAGGACTTCAACAGGGATGTGTACTTAAAGCTACACTGTGTAACTCTTTTAGTTTATTCTTAGCTAAAAACACTTAGTTCTTTCAAAAATATATGTGCTCATTAATGTATATTTACTTCGTTCAAGTAATAAAGTATTCTCGTGAGTGTATAATATGCCATTGAAAATACATGCGGGTAAGAGGTTCTAATGTCGGTCGCCATGTTGCCCCTCCATCTTGAAAGTACATTAGCCAAAGAGGGACATACCCGTTAATTCAAGCTTCGCCTTTCACGTTTACGTTTGAGTTAATAATCATGGACAAGGCACAACTGGAAGCCATAATAATCTTGGACTACATTGGCCACCGTAGGTGTTAAAATGAAATCGGAATTATTGAGAGGAACAGATTCGCTGGATGGTCATATACCTTTTCACCGCTAGATGAGGGTAAAAATCACACAATGTAGCTTTAAGGTTTGTGAGACTTAAATCAGTGTAATTACAGACTGGTTGTTTATCTAACAACTACATATTTTGTAGTACTAAATGTTAAAATAAACCAAAAAAAATGTAAAAGCAACTTTACAATTTGTATCATTAATGACCAATACAAAGCATTTATTAATTTAGGTTCATTTTTGTATGCAGTTTACTAATACATTTTTAACATTTCAAATTGTATAAATTAACATTAGCTAAAGTATGAACCAACATGAATTCACAGTAAACAATAGAATATTATTCAAGGTTTTTTTTAAAGTGACGTGAAGGCCAAATATGGGAACTCATACTCAGAATGTCTTTTTCTTCCCATCTGAGTTAGAGAATACAGATTAGGAGCAGTGAATACTGAAAACACACTGCAAACCATAGACACACACTCGGAGCAGTGGGCAGCCATGTTTGTTGCGGCGCCCGGGGAGCGATTGGGGGTTATGCTCGTTTCGAACAGTCCGACTCTCTATTAGGCCACGACTAAAGTCCAACACATCTATATCCGAGAGAAACGGCTTCTGGAAAGAATATGTATATATAGGGCGGGACTTGATTTCGCCCTTGTGTATTGACTGGATCGTATGAAGCTGGCCGTTGCTAACTAAATGGCAGCAGATCTGAATGCCAGTTGTAGAGGATATCATGAAGAGAACAGACATCGTTTCCAGGGGGAAGGGAAGTTAACATTGTTGATTAAAGATCATGAGGGGATACGAATTAAAATAATAATAATGATGCGCACAAATAAATGATTTATAATAAACACTACATTTTGTAAAAAAAAATAAATAAGAATTGTCAATTTTGATTTCATGGCGACTTCAATAATATTTCATTTTCTCTCCAGACTTCCAACCTAATGATGACATGTTGGAGATCTTGAGGACTGATTTCCAGTTGCGTCTGCTCTGGGGCAGCAGGGGGGCGGCCGTGGACCAGACAGAGCGATACGACAAATTCAAACTCATCCTCACGGCCCTGTCCAGAAAACTTGAGCCTCCAGTCAAACACACAGAACTCTGAAAAATGAGGCACGCACTTTGTACAGCATATAAGACTCTCTGAGCAAGCAGAAACTGTCCGAACCCCTCTGGAGGCAGGTCAAAGGTCATCTGAATCTGTGCCTAAAAAGGATGTTCTCTAACATAACATGTGCTTCAGAAGATCACGTGCAGCTTGCAAGTTGGAAGCCATTCATGAGCACAAATGAGAGCTTCTTTCTTCAATATGCGCCTTCCAGAGGTGTGTTGTGCTCCACACTTATGACTGGTGAAATGGGCAGGTACCAGTTTTACCTTCAAGAAAAGAAGGAACGGTACGAATAGATCTAATGGCCAATACATCATCCACCCTAAGAAATGAAGATAAAGTTGGAGGCAGAGGGTCCAGGGTCAATCACTTGACATATGAAGGGATGAATAAGAGACTGGAATTATGGATTACACCTTCAAGACAAATGTTCAGCACTATGAAGGAACAGGATATAGCAAAGCTTGTACACTTTTAGAAATGTCATGAAACCCATCTGTCAAAGCAGTGTTGATCAGCTTAAAAATCCCACATGGAAAAGAATGTACATAATCATTAGTGAACGCATGTGAAGGCTAGTTTAATAGTGTAATATATTGTATGATGTACTATTGACCTGTAAATAGTCACCCATAAATGAAATATTCGGAAAAATATTAAATAAATATCTAATAAATGGTTTTTCATTGTTACTGAAATCAAAAGTCCCCATAAAGATCTTTATAATTATTACTATTTTTTAATTAAAGATTTTAAATCAACACCGTTCTTTTGAACTTTATATTCAAAGATTTTATTTTTATCAGTTTCCACAAAAATATTAAGCAGCACAACTGTTTTCAACACTGATAATAATAATTTTTATTATTATTATCACTGGAGAAGTGATGCTGAAAATTCAGTTATTTAACATTTTAGAAATAGTTCACGATTTTACTTTTTTTTTTACCACAAAGTGTATTTTTGAATAAATGCAGCCTTGGGGACCCTAAAACGTCTGGTTTAAAACAAAAAACAACAAAAACTTACTGACCCCAAACTTTTGAACGGTAGTGTGTGTGTATATGTGTGGGTACAATCCATTATGCACTGCATACATCACATTTACAGAATAGAAACCTTCCCTCCTGATAAAACAAATACCCAGCAATAGCGATGAAATACAATGTGAACTGAAGGAATGTATACAAAATACAATATACAGGCTAAACACACAAGAGTGAAGAACTCTAATAAACGACAGGCAGGATGAACGAGACAAACAGACATAAGTATTTATTTCTCGGTTGCTCTTGCTCCAACACAAACCCCAGTATATAGTGGTCAACGTTGTCTTACTGTACAACACATTCACACAAAATCAAGCCTTCACATCTGACATCATTCACTCCCTAATAATCCAATTCAAATGCAACAGGGTAAAAAGTGCATCGGTTAAGACCAGGGGGTCCTACTGAGAACAGAGTTCAGACAAGAAGAAGAACTGGTTACAAAATGAGTACGGCACGGTTCTTTCAAGCAAAGCCTTGAAGTAACTCGTTTGGTTAAAAAAAAAAAAAACCTTAAAAAAAGTCACAATAAAAACATTCATTCTGAAATAAAGATGTTAATACATACAGTTTAATAATAAAAACTAACTAGGTATCTACATATGCATCCATATGCATACACAGTTTTATATGCAAGAATCACATTCACAAATACAAGCACTTCTGGAGACGTGTGGTCCTTGCTAGTTACGGTGAGCATGTTCTTGCACATGTGAAACCAGGAGCTGGACTAGAAATGGCGAAAGCCAAGATAGACCCCTATATGCTTTTAGTTTCCATACAGAGGCCTGTAATTAAGGCAGAGATGATGGGTTGGTGTTCACGGGTCCTGGCATTTCCTCCGCTCGTTTGATATGGTGTTGGGTCCCCCTGCTGGCCAAATGCAGAACTGCACCGGGCTCCTTCCATCCAGCGGACTGTGCAAAGGGGGCGGGGCCAGTGGGTGTGGGGACTGTTGGAATGGCTACTGTAGCACCATGCTTCCTTTACTCTGATTGGTCATGCTTTAGAGATTCAGATCATGGTTAACATGGAATGCATCAATGAAGAAACGTAGTCAAAAGAGAAAACGGACACACAAACAAGACGCGAGTAGTTGAGATAAGTGGTTAAACCTATTAAGGGATTGATTTGTCTGCACGGAATGAGGAATGAAAGGCTGTGGATCATGCAGGTGCATGTTATGCTGATGGTACAGGCGAAACATTCCCCTGAATATGTTAGTGTCAGGCAACGACTCTCCTTAGGTTCCCCAATATCTCTGGAACGTCTGCTGGAATGGAATGATGTTAATGACCATGACAAACAGCATGCACACATGCAACCTGCCCCAACACAATTTCGGTCTTAAAATCGCCCCACCGCCCCACTAACAGACCCACAGCAGTGAGTCCCGTCCACCAAACACCACAGAACCCCACTCATCCAATCAGGAACCTGTAGCCACAGAGAGAAAAGAGAGGACAGGAGTCATTGACAGGTCCACCGACAACAAAGATTGACCAGCGAGAGAAAAAAAGATTCAGGCCGATAGTGAGCCAGCCAAACTGAGCGCTGCTCAGAAGTTACACATTGCTTTTGTATTATATCTTAAATTTAAAAAGGAGGATGAGTAGGACTCGCAGGGAAACAGATTTGGCGCTATGATGAGGGGAAATTTAGCTGCAAGGACATAACACTTCAAAGAAAGGTGGAAGAACTGGAAACTACATGAACTGAAAGGTCTGAATCGAACAAATGATTGGACTGTGGTAACAATGCAGAGATGCTCCGAGTAGAGTACTTAAGTTTCAACATGTATAAAAACACAGAAATCTTAACAATTAGGAGTCGATTAAAGTTTGACAAGAATAAAATGAGGAACTCATCTCTCAGACAAGAAGACGTTTGAAAAGGAGCCTATGCATTTTGTTCAGTTTTGCTCCAATGATATAAAACTGATTAAAAACACTTATTAAAAAGGAATAAAATCTCTACAAGTCTACAGATTGATCCACTGCAGCAGTCGCAGTGTAGAGGAAATACAGTCACTTTCGACAGTGTGAGTGTGTTTGTCCTCGGGCTCACACAGTGAACAAAAGCATATGGCAGTCGGCCGAGCTGCGCTTGATGAGTCACGGTAAATCTGACACACACTCCCCCATGTATGATGTCATAACTAGGTGACGCTGCCGTGGGTGATGTCATATGTAGGTGACCGCACCTTTGCTGTTTTTCTCCAGTGTGATCTCCACGTAGGACGTGGGGACGTAGCCCTCCACTCCGCTATTTTTCCGAACCCGCGTCCATCCGTCGCCTTTATCTTCCTCTATGACGTACAGCACCTCGTTCTCGTTCATAATCAATGTGCCTTCGTTAGAGCCTGAGGAAGCAAAAAAAAAGTGTTCTGAAATGAGGCGGCAAAGTCCTCAAAGTTTGTATGTATGTATGTAAATTCATGTCCCAGTTAATGTTCCTGGTTAAATAAACATAACATTGTATAAAAATTAACCAAATACAATTCCATTTTGTGTTTTACATTAATTATGTATACTTGGTTTTCATAAATATATTACTCAGATTATATATATATATATACACTCACCGGCCACTTTATTAGGTACACCTGTCCAACTGCTCGTTAACACTTAATTTCTAAGCAGCCAATCACATGGCGGCAACTCAGTGCATTTAGGCATGTAGACATGGTCAAGACAATCTCCTGCAGTTCAAACCGAGCATCAGTATGGGAAGAAAGGTGATTTGAGTGACTTTGAACGTGGCATGATTGTTGGTGCCAGAAGGGCTGGTCTGAGTATTTCAGAAACTGCTAATCTACTGGGATTTTCACGCACAACCATCTCTAGGGTTTACAGAGAATGGTCCGAAAAAGAAAAAAACATCCAGTGAGCGGCAGTTCTGTGGGCGGAAATGCCTTGTTGATGCCAGAGGTCAGAGGAGAATGGCCAGACTGGTTCGAGCTGATAGAAGGGCAACAGTGACTCAAATAACCACCCGTTACAACCAAGGTGGGCAGAAGAGCATCTCTGAACACACAGTACGTCGAACTTTGAGGCAGATGGGCTACAGCAGCAGAAGACCACACCGGGTGCCACTCCTTTCAGCTAAGAACAGGAAACTGAGGCTACTATTTGCACAAGCTCATCGAAATTGGACAATAGAAGATTGGAAAAACGTTGACTGGTCTGATGAGTCTCGATTTCTGCTGCGACATTCGGATGGTAGGGTCAGAATTTGGCGTCTACAACATGAAAGCATGGATCCATCCTGCCTTGTATCAACGGTTCAGGCTGGTGGTGGTGGTGTCATGGTGTGGGGAATATTTTCTTGGCACTCTTTGGGCCCCTTGGTACCAATTGAGCATCGTTGCAACGCCACAGCCTACCTGAGTATTGTTGCTGACCATGTCCATCCCTTTATGACCACAATGTACCCAACTTCTGATGGCTACTTTCAGCAGGATAATGCGCCATGTCATAAAGCTGGAATCATCTCAGACTGGTTTCTTGAACATGACAATGAGTTCGCTGTACTCAAATGGCCTCCACAGTCACCAGATCTCAATCCAATAGAGCATCTTTGGGATGTGGTGGAACGGGAGATTCGCATCATGGATGTGCAGCCGACAAATCTGCGGCAACTGTGTGATGCCATCATTTCAATATGGACCAAACTCCCTGAGGAATGCTTCCAGCACCTTGTTGAATCTATGCCACGAAGAATTGAGGCAGTTCTGAAGGCAAAAGGGGGTCCAACCCGTTACTAACATGGGGTACCTAATAAAGTGGCCGGTGAGTGTATATATATATATATATTACTTACTGAAATGATCGGTCATATCAAAAATAAAAAAATTTTTTTTTAGCTTTTCGTTCGTAGAATGAACCAAATGACTTGAAAAAAGATTTGTTCATTTTGATGAACGAGTTCAAACCGGAGAGTCACAAACGCGCATCACGGAACAGAGCAAGGCGACCATTTGAGCTTATAAAACTTAAACTTTGGGTTTTTTTTAAATGGCCGATCGTTTCGCTAGATTAGACCCTTATTCATCGTCTGGTGTCGTTTAAAGCCCTTTGAAGCTGCACTGAAACTCTCATTTGGACCTTGAACCGTTTGGACCCCATTGAAGTCCATTATATGGAGAAAAATCCTGGAATGTTTTCATCAAAAACCTTAATTTCTTTTCGACTGAAGAAAGAATGACATGGACATTTTTTATGACATGGGTGTGAGTAAATTATCAGCAAAAGTTTTTTGAAAAGTGAACTACTCCTTTAAGTTAAAGCACTTAAGTGAATTATTTAATAAAAATCTGTCATTTTGTTGTATAGTAATTCCTATAGTTGTTTTTATGGATCTTTATACTCGACATTATGCCACAATGTTGTCAACAGCGCTTAATTCATCCTAAACAAGGAACATTTAAAGCAAGCTGTTTTTGTACCATCAAAAGAGTAGAGAGCTTTGCAGTGGCCGATGGCAGGGAGAGGATCGTCGTCGTCAAACTCGTCATCAAATTCGTGCGGGTCTGGCTGCGGTGGAGACCGATGCTCCTGACTGTGATCATCTGTGTAACTGCCTTCAGGACTGAAAGACACGAGAAAAACAACAGCCATGCATCAAAGTAGCCTTTAAGTTCAGAGGCAGCGGGGTGACGTGCGGATGCACAAAGCACTGATGACATGATGGTTTGGCAAATAAAGTGTTACATAATGGGAAGCTGCTGTTGCACTGATACTAGTTGTATATCTTTTTTTACATGCATCATGATTTAAATAAAAAGAAAATAATATGAGATAAAGTCTTTAATGCTCACTAAAGCTGCATTTATATGATCAAAAATACAGTAAAATAAAACAGTAATATAGTGAAATATTATTACTATATAAAATCCCTGTCAGTTTGAATATATTTTAAAGTGTAATTTATTCCTGTGATGACGAAGCTGAATTTTCAGCATTATAAAGTCGATTAAGCATCATCATAAGTCTTCAGGGTCACATGATCCTTCAGATATCAATGTTGAAAACAGTGCTGCTTAATATTTTACGATTCTGTGATGAATAGTTTAAAGAAACAGAATTTATTTGCTAGTTTTAACATTGCAAAACATTAACCTCAAACTTTCGAACAGTAGGGTATAGTTATATGGATTATCACAAAATAGACATTACCATACTGTCATTTAATATAAATATATATATATATATATATATATTTTATATTAAGATATTTATATGAAGATATATGTAGAATAGCAAGAACCGCTCAATAACTCTTCTAGGAGTGGGTTTACAAAAGGTTCAGGCACTCATTAAAGGGATGACTGTATACAGGATATATACATTATAGTCTGTCTATATTGAGAACGCAGATAATGTAATCAGGAAATCCAGACCTCTCTCTGCCGTGGGGTGTGTGGTGGTTCACATCCGCGCTGGGCCGCCGCTCACCACGGGATCCATGCTTCCCTTCAACCTCTGCCAGCCAACTCTGAGATGAAGAGAGACAGGTGAAGAGTGATTCATGTCCAAATAAAGAGTCATTTTCAATCATTTCACGTGATGCGGCATCCGCATTATGTCCATTCCTCCACTAGGTGGCGGTGGCACACAGAGATGCTCAGCGGGTTCATCTCAAATTTATCCAGATGTACATTCCCGGAGGCTGTGCTTCCTTATAAGACTGCAACAATAAGTCATTCCTCTGGGAATATTACCTCATTTTTATGGATCTCAGAGCGGAGTTTTTCCATGTTGCAAATGGTCTCTGAAATCTTGGGCTGGAGACTTCCAGGATCTCCCATCTGAGGATTCTTCTCATAGACATCTTTCATTTTGTTAAGAGCATCTCTGCGACAAGGACAATTATGTTTTTGAGATATTATTCTCTAGCTATTTAATAGGTTTTAAATAGTTTAAGCTGCAAACAAACAGAAAATAAACAATAATAGCTATTAAATAACTAAATAAAATTAAAATCCATTAAAATAAAGGAATATTATTATGCTAAATTAAAACAATTTTCCAGCATTAGATGGTTTTTAGTGTGTAATACATTTCTGTGAAGAAATTAGGAAAAAGAAAATGAGCTGCATGTTTTATAATCTACCTTTGGTCCATTTCTTTCTGTAGTTCTTTGTTTAGCTCATCGATCCTCTGTTGAAGTTTTTTGCGTCTCTGTTCAGGGGGAAGATGGCTGAGATCCTCCAGTGTTGGCGCCTGTACAAATACAGGTTATTCCAGACACAGTTGCAGTGATATACAGTCGCTCTAGAGAGAGATGTCCTTCCTAGAGCTTAATGGGCCTGTTCGTTTGCATACATTCCAATTTTGCAATTCATCTGAAAGTTTATAAACATTTAGCCACACTACACGAAAGACATCTGTACAGCATGAAGAAGGAGGGGGATTCAATGCAGTCAAAGCATCCTAGAACTAAACACTCAAGTCTATTTTCAAACTTCATATCTATACTACAGTAGTCCAAAACACACATCACTTACCAGCTTTAAAGACCACTGAGAGGTTAAGGTTAGGTCACGCCAATTCAAAAAGAAACAAAGACAACAAATCGCTCATCAACATCAGTCAATCGAATGCATTTTGACTGATTCTTTTAGTCAGGTTCGCACAGAACGCCACCATCAGGGTAAACCAGGTCTTAATCGAGGTCTGACCCACTGCTGTTCCAGCGCAGTTCATGTTAGTCTAACATTGTTAATACCACAAAAAGAGACATTTTGGAAGTCTGGTTAAAAACCTGAACCAGCCTGAAACCACAACCTCATCTTTGTTTTCAACATTTCCATTTAAGCTAGGTTATAAAGTAGAAGCTAAAAGAAGAACAGGTAATATTAGTGGCATTTGGTTTTCGAATCAGAACTACTAAGAAAAGGTAATCCATAAATTGCCGCCACAACAGATTATTTAACTAATGAAAGCAATCCAATATGTATCTATAGTAACTTGATAAATTTGCAAACATTCAGTTGGGTTTGTTGCACAATTAAGGAAACAAAGATGACACTTGTGAGATTTCAGAATAGTTGTATCCGGATAGTTCACAAATGTTAAACCTTGGCAAAAATCTCCTTGCGTCCTCATCAAACTGGATATGAGTGGTCATCGTTGTTACACTCTTTGGAGATAATTGAAATGACTTTGATGGACATCTTTCTACAAAGAGATTTACAGCTGGATGTTAAACATTTTTGGAAAACAAAATCAGTTTGGTATTTATCCAAAAAGATTTGTTAAGGATGTAGCCCTCAATCGGGTTATGGGGTCTATACGACCCCAATCGACTTTTACTTAATAAAAAAAAGGTTCCTTTCATCTCAGTGGAATAAGATTTTGTGAATTTGTATACATTATCTATCTATCCACACAAAAACTGGGCTTGATTAGGTTGTTCTGAAGGTATGTAAAAAAAAAAAAAAAAAAGTTTACACTTCTAGTCTTCGGGGTCAGTATGACCCCACATTGAAATGAATGGGAAATGTGAAAAAACTAAATATATTGTGTCAAAAAAAAAAAAAAAAAATCCGACATAAATCTGAAAATTTTTACCCAGAAATGAAGGCCTAGTAGTAGAGCATAAATGCAATGTATCATAAAAATGGTGTAGTGTGAGGAATTGTGTGGTATATGGATACAAAAGTCCTTAATATCTCCAAAAACACATCATTAATGAATAGATGAGAAGTAAACAATATATATATATATTATTTGTATGATTAAAAATGTATATTTTTTGTACAATTACTCAACCAATTGTTGGGGTTGTATAGACCCCGAAGCCCAGAAGTGTAAACTGGAAACAAAGACCATTTGAAGGTTAAAAGATCTTCAGACAGAGGAGTTTTCGAAACCATAAATCTCCTAGACTATACACGTGTCTATTCAGACAAAAACCCACAAATATTTGTTAATGTTTTCCCTGTGTTTCCCTTCTCATGTCTGTTTTACGACGTGTTCACAATGACAGCGATTTACAGACTTCAAGTAATAACAAGTCATCAGTTTTCAATAAGATAAATGAGCAATCATCTGGCAATCATCTCAATGAAACTTGTAACATCAATGTCAGTGTGAACAGGTTTACAGAAAAGAGCTACTGAGCTGTATTAAGTATTTTGCAAACTTGCATGCGCTTTTAAAAATAAAGCAAGAAGGAAAATAAATAAATAAATCACCCACCCAACACTTCCACCACCGTATTCTACTGCTTTACGCAACAAATCAAACTTGGGCAAATGATGGGCACAGCTCTTTGGACCCAGATAAAGCCTTATTCCTTCACTCAAAACAATCGTATTTCGCTGTTTCCTTGTGTGCAGGAATTAGCTAAACCTTGGGTGAGAGAAACCGGCCCAAGCGGCAAGCGTAATTTCATAATCACAGCAAACCCACACACACCAGGCCGACTCTTACCCCTCTTTTCACAGTTCGGAAGGATGGAATCTTAGATTTTGCATTTCTCGCTTCAGATAGATGGTTAGCCTTTCGCTCTTTTGTGAATTTAGGAGGCTGGATATGGCCAGAGGGAATACTTGGGCGGGAAGGAGGAGGGTTGGATGGGGGAAGCTGGGACAACAAAGATTTAAGGTGAACTAATAACAAAACACAAACAAACGAACACGCAAAACTATAAACCCTAGTTAAATGGCTGACTGCTTGTTAAATGTAGCTTCATAGGTTAACTTTCATTACAATGAAGGGTTTTTTAAAACAAGAACTGCTTTCTAGGGTAGGAATAAATGTGAAGTAATGTTCTTGAAAAAACAAAAAGGTCAGGAAGTTTTTGCAGGTACTGACAGCGTAGGTCTGAAAGCAGAAGTTAAAGTTTTACCAAGCCATAAAATCCTTTACTGTTCACACAAGTCAAAGCAGAGCACCTGACGGTCATGTGGGCTTTTAATTTATCACCTATTCTTAGCAAATGAGCTTTACGATAGAACAGAAGTTGCTGAGTAATGAAAATACCTTGGGTTTCTTCCCAAAAAGCCAGAGTTTGTTTTTGGTCCTGCTAATCGCGTGTTTGGGGTCCGGTTTGCCTCCTTCTGTTTTGGGGGTCCCAATGGTACTATCTGATCCTGTTCGCTGGATGTTCTGACTGAAGTCCTCAAAAGGGAAATCAGCCGGGGGTTCAAACCCCGACTTGAACGACTCCACTACAATCCCAGAATCCTGTGAGACAACAACAATGTGCTTAGCATGCTTGATATGCTTTATTTAGAGCCAAGTGCAAGTATAATAACACTACCTTTCAAAAGTTTTTTAAGTTTTTTAATTACGCAAGGATGCATTAAATTGATCAGAAGTGACAGTAAAGACATTTATAAAGTACCAAAAGATTTTTATTTTAAATAAATTGTGTTCTTTTAATATTTCTATTCATTAAAGAATCCTGAAAAAAATAATAAAAAATAAAAATAAAAATCACAAAATGTTTCCAGAAGTATATCTTATATATCAAGCAGTATAACCGTTTTCAACATTGATAATAAATGTTTTTTGGGAACCAAATCTGCATATAAAAATTATTCAGAAGGATCATGTGATAATGAAGACTGGAGTAATGATGCTGAAAATGAAAATACAGCGAGAATAAATATATACAATTTAGAATCTATGTAGCATCAAGGACCATAATGGTGTGTTAGTTGGAACGCAAATTTACGAACGCGAATTTACACTGAATGCCAAGCGTGAATTTTATTATTTGTGTGAGTAGATTGCATACAAAGTCAATGCAAAGACGTGAATAGACGCAACATTCGTGCCAGGCGTTACGAATGACGCGAATTGGTCGCAAACGTCTTCCGTACAAGTTGAAAAATTTGAACTCGAGTGGAAGATTCAAGCGTCTAACTAGATGCGATAGATGCGTATTTGATGCTCTATTCGTGTTCGGTGTGAACACACCATAAGATACTTCTTTCAGAAGCATAAATATCTTACAAGCCCCAAACTTTTGAATGGCAGGGTACATTTCATTTAAACAAAAGAAACACATTTCCTTGAACTCTGTCACCAACATTACAAATATTTTTCTCGACTACTACTAAACATTTATTTGTTTGCCCTCTTGAACATCAATTCTCAACTCAGTTACTTGGCTAACCTTAGTAACAGTAACGTGAGCGGTGTAAGCTCATGGTTTGTTCCTTTCAGGTACTGAACCAGCAACCTTCTGGTTACCAGTCCATACCTGTAGCAGTAACAGAGGAGGAAAAACAAATATTGCATATTTGGAGAAAAAAAAAGCGTGATTTAAGGCCATTATATGAAGAACCAGTGAGTGCTATAGTGTTTGTAAACTGTGAAAGTAGGCGCAAGGAAAGATGGTTAGCTGGTCTGTGATGACTGTGTTTGCTCAGGGTGTGCGAGCATTACAAAAGAGCTCTGGCTTCATGTCACCCGTTTAACAGCCTCTATGAGGTTCTCTTGACCTCAGAATTCGAGCAGAGGACATTAGGAAATCCCAAAACAACGTAAGCAAGCCCATAAATAAAACCGCAAACAGAATCAGGTCATGATCAGACCCGAATGGTTTGTCATTGGGCAGGTCAAGTACCGACCATTGGAGTGAGGAAAGCAAGGGGAAAATAGGAAAAACAAGAGTGGCATGGTGTTATCAAAGAAACTGATCATTTCTGAGAAGAATCTGCAAAGCTGACACTTTAAAATTACAGTAATTCGTCAAAATGTAAACACAGAATTGTTGTGCATAAATTAGTTGGTCTTCAATGGTGAATTATTTAAGAGATTAGGAGGGGCAAATCCTAACCTAGCTAGGAGTTGCTAAATAGTTTTGTTATATGTACAGATTGTTATATGTTCAACATGAGCAACTAGATCTGGTCAGAAAGTTGGTAGTTTGAATCAGTAAGTTTTTCCTTCCAGCAAAGATGTATTAAAATGCATCAAAAGTGACAAAAGATTTCTATTTCAAAATATATGTGGTTCTTTTGAAATTTCAAAGAATCCAGAAAAATATCATTGTTGAACATTGATATTAATAATAAATGTTTCTTGAGCACCAAATCAGAATATCTGAATGATTTCTGAAGGATCATGTGACACTAAAGACTGAGTTATGATTCTGAAAATTCAACCTTGCCATTACAGAAATAAAATTAATTTTAAAAATGTTTTCAAAGGCAAACGTTTTTATTTTGTTCAAAGTTAACAACATTTTAATAATGAGTCAATATATCATCAATCTTTCTTACCCTTTATTACCACTATGGTAATTGAAAGTGTTTCATACCAGCAGGATGATTTTCATGGGAAATTGCGTACATACTGTACGTCACTGTGCGTCAAATCACACCCGGTAAATAAAAAAGTTTCTCCAGCTGCTTTGATGTGTGTATCATGTGGCTGAGCTCGTAATAAAACAAGAATCAACATTGGCTTGGCTTTTCGGGGATGGTGAAAAGACAACTGAAGGATGTTGAAATGTTGTAAAAGTAACACAGAGATGGTGTTTTATTCCTCAACAGGCGAGTAGGGTATTTTACTGAACAGATAAATTGCCATATGTAGCTCTCTAACAGTTCAGAGAGTTCATTGTAAAGCATTATCTATTGTGAAGGGTCATCTATTCATCTGCATAGTCGCGCAGAGCAGTAGCACATCCAAAACAATGTTCTGCCACAAAACATGCAGTTTTATTTAACTGCTAGAAATCAAAACAGTTATATAGCGTGCCTCTAATTGTAATAAAAACATTTCAGGTAATCCTGCTTTTACTGATCATAAAGGCAGCCTTGGTGAGCATAAGATTGAATGAGTCCAGAACAGAAAAAGAAAGAAAGAGAGGGAGACTAAATGGGTCAGATAAAAAACGTAATCAGTGGTTGCGGTGCCACACACGACCTTTTCATAAGCATCAGCACTGGCGACAGCACTAAGAAAATGAGCAACTTCTGATTCTCTCATCCTCCCATGCTCCCAATCATCCACTCCCTCACTTCCTCCCGCCTACTCGCCGTCTCCAATACTCCCTTTCTTTCTATCAGTGTAGTGGACTGGAGCTATCATCAAGATCATAGGTACATAATGACATCAGGGAGAAGTCATTTACATTTGAGTAAACTTTGAGATCATAATGGAGCGTAAAAAGTTACTTGAACCATGGACTGGTAACAGGTAATCAAAGCACATTGAGAAGTTTAGTAAGTCATTAAGATATTTTGCTTGTTTTTGAAATAATTAGCTTGTTCTCACCAAGGCTGCATTTATGTGATCTGAAATACAGTAAAACCAGTAATATTATACAAAATAACTTTACTATTTTTAAAATGTAATTTGTTCTTCTGAATTTTCATTACTCCAGTCTTCAGTTTCACGCGATCCTCAAGAAATCATTCTAATATGCCGATTTGTGGCTCAATAAACATTTCTTATTAACAATTTTAAAAACATTGTTGTGCTGCTTAATGTTTGGAAAACCATGATACTTTTTTATGTCTTTACAGTAACTTTGCAGAAAATAAGTATTAATTTGTATTTAAAAAAACTTTTATATATTGCTAATATTTCATAATAGTTTTCAATGTTTTACTAGTACTCAATTCCTTTTTGTATGGCTCTTAAAAGTCTTAAGAGTGTTTCAGCACTCACCCTACGCTCATCCACATTTTTAGCAGCGGTCACCATGCCCTCCAGGCATTTTGAGATAATGGGAATGACTCTTCGTTCCACATCGGCAAAACTCCGGTACGTCTCCCCAAGCTTGACCGTCCGCCGTTCATCCATGTCCTGCAGATTCTACAAGCACATGTACACAGAGGTTACAGAACTACATAAACAAAACTACAGAAACGTTTTGATTTATTACATCTTTTCTGTGGATGGTCACAAACCAAATACAGTGCTTTATTTGTCAACTAAAAAGACGACCATTAAGGGAGCAGTTCACAAAGAAAGCATTTTTGCTGTTAAAAACACAAGACACAGGTTAGTAGATTGAAAAAAAAAAGCACACAGGTAAAGATGTCCATCTAGTGAATGTTTACATAGAAAAACAATAGAAAAGTAGCACATTCGAATGGTAAAGCCCGTTAAAGGAGAAGTTCACTTTTAAAAAAACTTTTGCTGATAATTTACTCACCCCCGTTATCCCAGATGACCACGTCTTTCTTTCTTCAGTCGAAAAGAAATTAAGGTTTTTGATGAAAACATTCCAGGATTTTCTCCATATAAATGGATTTCAATGGGAACCAAAGGGTTCAAGGTCCAAATTACAGTTTCAGTGCAGCTTTAAAGGGCTTTAAACAACACCAGACGATGAATAAGGGTCTTATCTAGCGAAGCGATTGGTCATTTAAAACATAAATTTAAAAAAATTAAGTTTTATAAGCTCAAATGGTCGCCTTGCTCTGTTCTGTGATGAGCGTTCGTGACTCTCCTGTTCAAACTCGTTCATCAAAACGAACAAATCTTTTTCGAGTCATGACTCGAAGGGTCCTAGATAAGACCCTTACTCATCGTCTGGTGCCGTTTAAATCCCTTTGAAGCTGCACTGAAACTCTCTTTTGGACCTTGAACCGTTTGGTTCCCATTGAAGTCCATTATATGGAGAAAATCCTGGAATGTTTTCATCCAAAACCTTAATTTCTTTTCGACTGAAGAAAGAAAGACGTGGTCATCTGGGATGACGGGGGTGAGTAAATTATCAGCAAAAGTTTTTTTAAAAGTGAACTACTCCTTGAAGAATGGTTTTCATTAATTGAAATAAAGCTGAAATAAAATATAAATGTTACAGGTAAACTTAAAACTTATAAAGAAAATTTGGAATAAAAACTGGAATAAAATAAGTTTAAGTACTAAAACTACTAAAACTACAACTAAAATAAATTCAAGCTAAATAGAACAATTATATATATTTTTTTATTCCATTTAAAAAAATTATTAACAATTATTATTTATTATTTATAGAACAATTATTATTGTTCTGCGAGTATAATCTTTATAGCTTTAGAATTTAGATTAAAATATCAGAAACTAAAGATTGGGGACATCATCACCTTGAATATTTGAGGGATGGCCACGTTGAAATGCTTCCACTGTTCAGCATTGAAGTTCTGCAACTGGGCTGCATACTCGTTCTTGCTCTCCTCCGCCATGTGTTGTCTCAGATACAGCTGGGACTTTGCCTAAGACAGAATGAATGGTCATCTGTATTACTAATACTTCAGGAATACAGCTCAGGGCTCAGGGCGACTTCCAGAAACTGCATTCAAGTGCTGTTTTACAATGTTTTAACAAAATGGTTAAGACAATGTTCAGTCAATAATCACAAGAATGTATGTAGAGTATATCAGGATCACAGAAACTACCTTTTCCACCTCTGACTTTGTGGCGTTGATGTCATTGTCTAGCCTGTCGTAGATCATTTGTGATTTTTCTGCCTCTTTGCATTCCCGTTCAAACTTCTTTTTACTCTGTGAAATCCATACGGAAAAGGAGACACATGTTGATGGGCTGTTAAAACAGGCTTTGCTATGCGAGCATTAGCAATCCTTCCTGCATAAAAACTGTCAGGACTTGATCTAGTAGCAACATAAATACAGATAATCTTACAAACAAACATCCAAAACAGTCCTGAGATTGAGAGCGATAATGAAATTTGTGTCCAGCTTCCAGAGCATCTGTGTTTCATTTCGTGACAGTGCAAGAAAGAGGAATACCTATGTTATTACGACATGGTCATTCTCAACACCAGATTCAGCTGTTGCTGGCCTTAAGCTGCAGCGACCTAAAAGCTGCACAAATACTCTACGAGACGCGCGGACAGACAGGAAACGTACAGGATGCAGGAATGCAGTGCAGGGTATGGAGCGAGAGGGAGAATGGAAAGAAAGAGCTTGAGAAGATGCATGCGGCGCAGGAAGGTTTCCATTTGTGCACTGCCAACAGTCTTTGTCACTTCTTCTGTTTTGGACTTGCACATAAACACACACAGTCATGTGGATCTGCATAAATCTGGACCCCAGGTCACAGCTGGAGGAGAGGTTGTGAATCGGTCACTCGCACTTAGACACAACTGTGCAACTAGCACTGCAAACACAATCGATCTTAAATAGGGCTGATGCTATTCCAAATAATACCTTGAATTCAATCAATAGATTGAAAAAAGCGCACGGTTAAAGATGTCCGTTTAGTGCACGGTTATATTGAAAAACAATGGAAAAGTAGCAGTCAAATGGAAAAGCACATTTAAGGAGTAGTTCACTTTTGAAAAAAACTCTTGCTGATAATTTACTCACCCCCATGTCAACCAAGATGTCCATGTCTTTCTTTCTTCAGTTGAAAAGAAATTAAGGTTTTTGATGAAAACATTCCAGGATTTTTCTCCATATAATGGACTTCAATGGGAACCAAACGGTTCAAGGTCCAAATGAGAGTTTCACTGCAGCTTCAAAGGGCTTTAAACGACACCAGACGATGAATAAGGGTCTAATCTAGCGAAACAATCGGTAATTTAAAAAATAAATAAAAAAGTTTACATTTTATAAGCACAATTGCTCGCCTTGCTCTGTTCTGTGATGAGCGTTCGTGACTCTCTTGTTCAAACTCGTTCATCAAAATGAACAAATCCTTTTTCGAGTCATGACTCGAAGGGTCCTAGATAAGACCCCTATTCATCGTCTGGTGTCGTTTAAAGCCCTTTGAAGCTGCACTGAAACTCTCATTTGGACCTTGAACCATTTGGTTCCTAATGAAGTCCATTATATGGAGAAAATCCTGGAATGTTTTCATCAAAAACCTTAATTTCTTTTCAACTGAAGAAAGAAAGACGTGGACATCTTGGATGACATGGGGGTGAGTAAATTATCAGCAAAAGTTTTTTTAAAAGTGAACTACTCCTTTAAGAATAGCTTCCGTTAATTGAAATAAAGCTGAAATAAAATATTATATACATATTAGAGAAAATTTGAAATGGCAACTAACTGGAATAAAATAAGTTTAAGTACTAAAATTACTCAAAACTAAAACAAAAATGTATTCAACCCGAATAGGTTCTACTTTCTTTAAAAATTTATTTAGCTAACAAAAATGACAAAAAAAAGCTCATAAAATTAAATTAAGAAAAAAACTGAAAATCAAACTTAATTCAAAATATGTATGAATCCTACAATAGCTGATAACAGATGCTATTCCAAACTTTCTGTGGTTGATAAGTGCAATTTCATGCTTCTAGCTACCGATTTCCAATGTACAACAAAAATAACATGACATTGAGTAATAACCAATGTAAAAAATGATCTCTAAATATCTATGTAAACACTGTAATGTTTTGTTTTTAAATAATTCAAGTAATTATTTTAATTATTTATTAAATGTAAACAGTCACTAATTAAATTACAACATATTAACTACAAAAATACAAATAAATAAATTACATAAACAAGTTTTGATGCCTCTAGTAGCATCAAGCAGGCAAAAAAACATTAAATTAAACAAAAATGCCTGATTAAGAAGGATGTATAGGCATACACACTGTATGATAGCCTATCATACAGACTGCGTATGATCCAGTACCAGTACCAGTAGATAACTTACATTGTCCATGTGTTTCCAGCACTGGTCTAGATACTGTTGGGTCTTCCGTCCCTCCTGGAGATGCTGTTGATCAGAGACACAACAAACAAATGTTTAAATAAAACTTGTCTTGAATGCAGCAGAACATGCAGGTGTCTCGGGTGTGTGTATTTGGCACTCACATGTTTCCTCTCCGCCTTCAGGTCCTGTGAGTACCTCATCAGCTCCCCATACACTTTGTGCCCCATCTCCTCGGCAACGACCTCTCGCTGACCTGCGTAGTCATTCAGCTCGTTCAGTATGGAGTAGAATGACAGACAGGATGTGAACCTGCAGGAGGAAAATATACAATGAAAAAAATACTACAACATATAATCTTGTTCGTTTATTTTTATTTCCATATCAGCATCAATGACTATTTTCATAGCAAAAATCAAAATATGATTGACTTTTACTTTAATTTAGAAAGACATGATTCTTACAGCACTGCAATAAAAACTATATTGATATTTGCCAAAAATATCCAGATCCATCAAACAAATCAAATTTTGCAAGCTTATTTCGATTCGTTAAAATGACTAAATAAATATAAGCATTGGATGTCAACTGATATTTTTGTTGTTGGTGGTTGCTTTTTTCAAAGCAGTGTAGCTAACATAATGCTGATATAAACACACTTGAATTGTCAGTGTAAAACCCACTGCAATCACATTTAGATATATTAGAAATCCTTAAAAGACCTTAACATGCATTTTTAGATCTTTTGAACCTCTTGCATCCAAACTAAATGTTTATGTTCTGATATGGGACAATTTCTTGGACATTCAATGCCCTCATTAAAAATGAATTGCGTTTATCAGCAGTCGCACACATCTTCTCCTCAGGTTGCCGCCATGGCCCCTGGGGGCCGGACGTCTCTAGTCTATCTGTATGTTGATATTGACTAAGGGCCAGCCTGTAAGGCATGACTAGCTCACTATATTAAAAATCCCCCTTTACAAGCGTTCATCTCTCCAGTTAGGGATGTGTGTGTATTGCGAGGGCTGGACGGAGATGTTTTTGTCCAAAGCAAATGTCCCCCCCACCTCCAGGGTTGAGTTCTAATCAGCGGGCTGTCTGTACACTACATGAGGAATGTCCTGGGACAAAAACACATGCTGGGAGAAATTATGCCTATCTAATGGAATTCATTACGGGATATGGGAGGGACTCGAGCTGACACCCATCGTATACTCCCCCGTTTCTGCTTTCAACCGTAATCTAGAGCCAACAGGGTAGAAACATGCCGGTTAGGAGAGCAACTACAGCCAAAATGTACAATGAAATAATGCCATGAGTTAAAAGAAAGAATGTTTAAAAAAGTACAGTTGCAGTGAAACAAATGGATTTGATTTTGATCCAACGGTAATGAATAACTAACAGTTTGAGTGTATTAGAATATCGATTGTGAATTTTATTTTAGTATTACTTAATACTAAATATTTTTTTTATTAATATTTGAATTTGCTTCGTTTAGTTATCATAATTTTTTTATATTTTTTATTTTACCATGTAGGTTTAATTTATTTTGCCTTTCAGTTTTAGTTTAGTTTTCATATGCTATTTAAATTTTATTTTATTCAATCAAAAAAAAAGTGTATTAGTTTTAGACAGATATTGACTATCTATGAGGAAAGAGACTGTAGAGTGATAAGAGAGACATGAAACTATCCGATCTAAGTAGGAAATCAGTCTTGTTCTCTGGACAACGATCAATTAAACAGTTGGATTGACCAATCAGAATCAAGCATATCTAAAGATACGTGTAACAGGCTATTATATGCTATGTCCAAATCATGTTTTTGTTAGCTGCCATTAAAAACATAAATAGCGGTCAAAAAACCATTTTGCCATTAAAAACATAAATAGCTGTCAAAATAACCACTTAAAAATCTTTGGAGCAAGCAAATGTTTGCATTTGAACTCACCTGGGCTCATCCTCTTTTGCGCGCTTGGGGCAATATTTCTTAACCAGACTCCTGTTGGGCAACAAAAGAACTTTTTAGAAAACTCAGAGAAAAACTGCTCATGTTCTGAATACATCAAACAAAAGCACACATTAGGGATTAGAATATCCCTTAACATCAAAACTAAAGTTATTCACACAACCATGAAGAGAACAAGGCGTCTATCTAGTGTGTTTACTTTATGCATCAGAGAATTAAAGTAGGCCACGGTAAACAGGCAAAACAAGTGATGGTATGCTAATCTGTCTTCCTTTCCCCCCGTCCCACGCAATATAAACTCGAGGGAACACAGACGAATCTTCAGTGGGAGCTCTTGGGAGAGGCTCTACTGCTGTGCTCCGGCATGGGATGGGGGATGGTGTGGGGGGTCCGTTGAGTGCGCTCACGGAGGAAGGCAACACAGACCCCCATCGAGCTGAATTAATGATGTTTGGCACTTCCTTTATTAAAGCTTCCTCAAATCCACTTCATGAAACAGATCAAACAAAAACTCACTTCCCTTCTCCTTTAGTCTGGTTATGATTGGTTGTGCGCACTCATAACTAAAGTGCCTCAGCATAATTTTTCAAAAACACAAAAAGACATCAAACGGATAATCGACAGAGAGTTACTTGTTTAGATGTGAAAAGAAACATATGTTATGTGCACTTCAAAGTGTAATGTTAAAACCATTTTTTAACAGACAATAAATAGTAAAGGTGGGAATACATTTCCAATTTTTTTTTTTGCGCGCATGTTCTTAAGCCAATAATGACAAGTAAACGCGTTAAACCATTTTCCTTTAACGGCATAAGGTCATGAACGGCTTAAGAATAAGCTGCATTTAAGCATCCTTATACAGCAGATTTAAGCACATCCAGTCAGTGTTTTGTGGTTGGGTGGGGGAGAAATATCGCAAACAGTCTTTTTCTTGACCCAAGAAATATATATATATATATATATATATATAAGGTGTTCTCATCTCATCTCATGCAGCCAAAGGACAAGTAGTCCAGTTCAAATATGAGAGGAGAATGAGTCTGTGTAAGTTTCCCACTGAAATTTTGAAATACTCTTGGGTTTTGTAATGCTTTTTTTAGCTTTAAAATCACAACTTGCATTATAAATAGAATACTCTCAGTGAAACACATGATGCTTACATTTTGACGACACTACCGGGGAATAACCTGTTTTTTGATAGCCTTGTAAACAATGGTTTACTTGCACCTCCAGGTTGTTGATTTGCATGTAAACCGGTAAAACGGGTTATTTTAATAAACAGATTTTTGGTAATTATTGGTGTGCATGTTAACATGCTCATTGTATGATTAAATGTATATTACGGTAAATGTACACGATGGTATTTAAATATTTATACAAATATATTAATTCTAAATACATGATTTGTTTTGATATACATACATACCCAAAACAAATTATAAATAATATTTATAATTAATTAAAAAAAATGTATTTACTCAATTTGAACATTAATTGGCTATTATCTGAAATGGCTATTTTTTAATAGAATAATCAAATAAATCAACTAATAAATAATTCTAAAATAGTTTTAAATAGAAAAAAAGAAACCTATAATGCAGAAACAGATTTGTTTTCATTACACAGAAAGTGTAATGTTCTTTGGCTCCATTCACCCCTCACCAAGGAAATCCTTGAGAGAGAAAACCGTCATGGTGTTGCCATGTGTGACGGTTCAGGGTGGGGGGAGCATTGCTTCAGAGAGCATTGTGGGACCTGTCAGGTAGAATAAATGTGGTACTACACTAGAACCTACAATGAGATTTGAGAGGGGGAAGAGGAGCGACTCTATAACCGTATCCAGGCAACAGCAAAACGTCCACGGGGACCAAGACATCCCGGCAGAGGAGAGGAAAGAAGGCCCCAGCTGCAGTCACTGCGTGTCCCTTTGGCGAAAACACAGCGTCTCTCATTCTCAGTTTGATCTCATATCAAATCTTACAACTTGGAGCCCGCGGGGATTTTTGACCCGATGTGTCTCTCACCCTCACGTCGAATCCCAAGGCAAAAAGTAATCTTACCACATAAGGGAATGATGGGGGGGAGAATCAATAGCATAGGTCAAGGCAGATGTTCTCATTAGGACAATTAAAGCCCTATTATTAAACATACTGTTCCAACTATAAAAACACCTGAGATTGCACACCATTTGATTTTGAACACTATAATAAATGTTGTTTAACCAAAAAGTGGTTAAAAAATGGACAGTTAGGATGATGAACTGTATATTATGTTTTTGTTTTTACTAGCAACAACATTCATTTACATAAAAGTTGGGCAACTTTCGAGAAGCTAGCAATAGCAAGCTAGCTTTGAAATCATGAGATCCCACCCTCCCTTCAGAAAACCTCCAAATCCATGCCTCCTCCACAACACATGAACACATTGCACAGCCAGAGCAAAGTCTGCTGGCGCAAAACGCAAAAACACGCTATCAAGCGCTGTCAAGAGCATGCCACACCAATAGGCGGTGATATAACCCTAAGCGTAAAGCCTTGTTGGCCAATCAGAAGCCTAACAAAAACATGAATCAGTACTTCAGTACCACTCACTTAAATCATTCACACAAAAATCATATCATTAGCACAATAAAAGCCCTATTAAATGCTCACCGAAGCTGCTTTGCATAGACCTGCTCGATCTCCAGACGCTCCTTGACGAACTTTGCATAGCGCTCTAGGAAGTCGATCCCCCACTGCGTGTGTTTGTCGAGATTCTCGAACTGGTCCTGATCAAGGAAGAAAGAGGAAAAAGAGAGAGACGTCCAGTGAGAAGGAGTTTGATCTGTCACTGGGCTGCCGGTGCCAGACAGGAAACATGAATATGGAAGGACTTGTTTGAAGAATATTAAACATTTGCAGGGTGAGTGCAGAATATAAATCAATGCTAAATAAACATCCACATAACAAACAAGGATTGTTTCATTGCTTTGAACTCATTTGAACTCAACCAAGTCAAGATAAAAATCACTCTTCTCTTATAAGGCATATTTAACGTCAAGTCAAAGTTTGGGGAATACTCCTCTGCAGTTATGTATCCTGCTATAAAAAAACCCATTTCAGTCATCCTCAACTCCTAGTGATTTTACACGCCATCTCTTGCCATACGCGAGAGACAGTTCATGAATTTTTCTTGGCGATGCCCAAACACACACACAAATACACACTCACAACTATGGACAATATAGCATCTCCAATTCACATATACTGCCGGATTGTTTTTGGGTTGTGGGGGAAACCGAAGCACCCAGAGGAAACCCACACTGACAAAGACAGGACTCCTGGCTCAGTTGGGGCTCAAACCGAGGACCTACCCACTGAGCCGCTCATAGAAACATATACTGATTGTAAATGAAGGTCCCAGCCTACTTCACAAAATCTCACTGCTGTTATCAGTTATTTAAGACATGCTGATATATATCCGCCTTCTCCATACAGCCAGCTTGGATGAAGAATCGGGTGAGCTGAAAGTTCCAGCTCGAGACTGTTACATCACATTCCTCACCACCAACACGACAGCAAAGACACGGTGGATCCAAACAGTCCATCTGGGTTCTGAGCAAAAAACAACTCTACGGAGGAGTAAGTGACATTTAGCTTTACATTGCAGGACTATTTATGGTAAAGCCTTGGATGCAGCCAGACTGAGAGCGAAAACAAGAAGCACCTAAAATGAAAAACTGAGTAGCTAAATAACGTCTTTGTTATAGAGGGATCACAATCACTTAAAATGTTTTTAAAAATTCGATAAGAATGAATGAATAATTAGTAAAAAAAAATAATAAAAAAATTGAAATGCATATTTTTTAGTATGTACTTCTAATTTAGTTACATAATTACATATAATAATGAATTATTAGAACTATTTATTTATTTATTTATTTACTTATTTTCTATCACAGATGTGACCATTGCAGTTGAAGTCTGGAGTCTGAGGTCTCAGACTGAAGACCTGTCTTTATGAACTGAATGTGAATGCCGCCACAAGCTGTATAGTCTCAGTCTGTCATGGGTCAGACGAGGCTTTATGATGATGATGATGATCTCTGAGAAGTAGAGAGAGACAGACAAGCTGTGTATTAGCCTGAGGCAGAGCCAGTCTGTTCACAGGAGGCACAAGACAGTCCATCCACTGTTCAACAGGAAACAAGAGACACAGTAATGCAGCTTCAAAGACTTGATCACAAAACCAAAACAACTAATATCAAACAAACTATGATGTAATATAAAAATCGTTTTTTAAAAGCACACATGCTTGACTTCTCAACATTGGTCAAATATCATGACCTGAATGATGACGTGATCATTTTAAGGTGCATTACATGTGACTGATTATGTCCTCAGTCCAACCTGGGGTTAAGACAGCTAGCAGGTTATGAACCTACAAGCTATTCCAGCTCAGATCTTAAACCACTACACCACATGCGTTTCGCCAAGGGAGAAGAGGGGAGCTTTGTTCTGGAGTTGACAGGCCGCCAGCGTACTTCCTCCACTGGAGAACAATGAACAAACGCCATTACAGCACCTTACGGACAGCACAGATTACAAACTCATTTAATCAATCTCCCCCTGAGGACTTCTGATGAACGTCATCAGGAACAGAACACACGACTGATGAAAAAACGCAGCGAAACCCATTAGTGAACCCAGCAAAAGATCCCTGACAACTACCTGTGACACCAAGAACAGACACGACACATTAACACACTGACCCCAACAACATTTATACAGAGATAAACATTAGTCGCAAAAAGACTGTTTGTCAGTGGGAACAGTTTAAGAATATTTACTGTATGAATCAATAAGGATGAGGATGGAGGATATTAAAATTCTGGTAAATACAAAATAACCAATCATGATGTTAATGTCATGGCAGATATTAAATTTGATACTCTTTTTTTAATAGTATACTTAAATCTATCATTTAACATGCAAATTAGGCATGTCCAGATTAAGTTTTTTGTACTTCCAATCCAAGTCCCGATCCAACACTTGTATTTTCTTAGTGCTTGGGCCATACTTCAAGAATATTTAAGTTATTAAAATCAATCCAAAGTGTACAGGGGTGTGCAAAGTGCAGACCTCAGGGGTTTCAATGTAAGAAAAAAAAGGTACATCTATTACTAGTAACTGCACAGTCATTTTATACAGTGGTGGACATTGTAAACAAACTGTGCGTTCAAAATTATGAATATGGGACTAATGATATTTTATAACCTTCTCGTATTTTGTATACAATAAGCAGAATAACTGCAGTGGATTTAAGATTAGAAAGCATGAAGTTCGCGGTGTCAGAATGTCAATCTGTCAGTCAAGTGACTCAAGTCCAAAGTGAGACGCAACCATAACAATGAGTCATGGCAACTATGTCTCAGGTAGTATGACTGCAAATAAAAAGAAATAGAAAATAAATTACTTTCAAAATTATGTTACAAATGTTTTTTTGTAACAATCAGCTAATATATCATAAATATAATCCTGCCCTAACACTTAATATTTAACCTAAGACTTCAATACTTCAGTCAAGCCAAAACATGAATATTGGCTTGATCTGTTCAGTTGCTTGTATTATGAGCTGACTTGGATGTTTCCGTTATACTGACAGCAGCATCTTATTTAACTAATGACTGCACCCCTAATTTATCAGAGAATGAAAGAAAGAGTAGAGAGAGAGAGAGAGACAGTGGAGATGATAAAGTGCAATTTAAATAAAACTGGAATCTCGTTTCTCTGTTGGCACACAGTAACAGTAGTTAATGATTACTCTGGGCTAGAACTGTCATAACATACATCAAGCAGAATCTTCAAAAAAAAAAAAAACAGCGAGCCATTCATCGACAGCACCTGACAATCAAATCACATGGGGTGGGTGGGAGGCTTAAATCCAAATGAGCTCCCTAGAACTGATGAGTGTTGCATAAACATAATGCAGACGTGCGTGGGTGTTTCTCTAGGCCGGGAGGGAGTATTACACACAGTCCTGCCGGTTCAATGCCGGGCGCTGCTGAAATCGAGGAAATCACCTTAGCAGCACGCTGATGCTTCACTCAAGTGGAAAAACAGTATCCCCCCACCATCTGCCAGCCTTTAAATGTCATTTAACAAACACGCATACACAGTGAAGGTAAAAAAAAAAAATACTAAAATGAATAACCACATAGTAGGGACATTTTCAAAATTAACTATTCAGTGGGCTATCTGAATAACTAGAAAACTAGCCTGTGTTAAAGAAGCCCAGTAAATCAGGCTGGTTTACAATCATAACAACAAGAAACTAATCAGGCACGTTTCTTAATAGGGACATAGTATTCCGGACACAATGTTGATGTCTGATTGACAGGCATAAGGAGATGATCAAACAACACATTTTTGCTCTTAAAAACTGCAGAGCTGATGAGTGGAAAAAGGCAGGGACTTTGAAAAAAGCTGCGAGAAATGGCGCAAAGGTCAAAGATGTCCATACAGCGCATTTAATCACAGAGAAAAACTATTGAAAAGCAGCCAAGCTTAACCATAACCATATCATCTCCATAAGAACTTCATGAAAGGCCAAAAGCAGACTTTTCTCGTCAGCGCGTTCTGACTTCTTACCCGCTCATATGGTAATCTTCATTCTGCTTACGAAAAATGGCATACATACTAATACCCTAAATACTTTAAAGGGCATGCCCTCAGCCCTAAACTCTAAACATTAACTAGATTAACCATAAATCTGGTTTAGGGTGAGTGTAAAGAGGGACTTCTATTGAAATAGATATAAATCATATCACCAAATGAGTGAACATATAAATAGAATGTTGCAACCAATCTGCAGAGAGGGTTACTGGTTATTGGAGTGGGTGTGGCTTAAAGTGATGCATTGTAAAAGAGGAAAAGACATTTGTATAATTATGACTTGCCTCGATTTTTTTACATCTCATTTCATTTATAAATATAAATAAAATCCATATATATATATATATGCGATACATTTGCATAACTACTCCAAGAGGGGAAAATGGCAGCATTAAAAAGAAAATATGAATAGCAGCCAGCATTGATCGCTCTAATATATAGTTTGTTCCGAGGGTTTTGAACTACACAAATGGCAGATTGGCCAACCAGCAGGTTCTCTCTAAATACACACAAACACACACCAAAACACACCTATGACATCCAACAAACAGCATGAGCCATGGTTCTTGGTGGCATGTGTTCTCTGACTGGGCCGTATGCACTGACGATGAAAAGGAGACGGTGGTCTGTTAGCTTATTGCGAGGGTCTGTTCTTTTGGCTGGAGGGATTACAAAAGCTCATGACTATGGATGCTAAATTAAAATCTTTCACACATCTTTGCTCACACTAAAAACCCAGCCTGTTCATATATTATACAGTGTAAATGAAACAAAGGCAGCAGCCAAGTGCTGGCATAATACATCCAATTCTCTGGCTGGTGCCCGGTTACGGTTGGTGCCAGAGTTTGGCGAGCATGCTCAGTTTCTATCCTTACATCACCTTCTCGTCCAAGCACTCATGAATAATTAATACCATGAGTTCCTGCAGGCGCCGCCTCCACAGACTGACTGGCAACTGCAGTTGCTAGGAGACAGAAAGAGGTGGGCCAATCTCAGTTTACAGAAACCCGATAGAGTTCCTAAAGTTAAGTCTCAAGGGAAGGAAACGTCCCAGACCCCCCTGCAGAAGCAAGTATGCCCACTTTTGATGCACATCAAATGAGAATTTTCTGAG